TCCACATTGAATAATAAGGAGCACCCAAGGTTAGTTTATATATTGAGGGGTCATTCTACCCATTGCCAAGTAGTTTTGGGTTGATGCGTTAATATGATATTAGAGCTGAGTCTTGGTTGGGTAGTCTCTTACCCATTTGGATTTCTTGATATGCATATTTGTTTGTTTGTTTGTTAAAGTCCGGGTCTGAAATGAGGGACATTATAAAGAGAGCTTGTATCTTTCATCGAATTATTAGACTACCCAAGGTTAGTTTATATGCTTGAGGTGTCACTCCACCTATTGTTAATTGGTTTTGGGTTGAATGTTCCTAGACATAGAAGTAATGAAACAAAAAAGGAATGCCCAAGAGAGAGAGATAACAAGGTTGAGGAAGAACTGAAGAAGTGGGACAAAGTCTTTCATTGGCGATTTTATTTGTTTGGGGTTAAGCACAATGAACTATGTGGCTTGATTTTGGCCTTTAAAGAATAATGCACCATGTGGCATGTCTACTGGGCATCAAAACATGACTCAAACACGTAGGTGACTGGCCATCAAGGCAGGGACCTTGGTGATCATACTACTCGACTTTCCTAAAATTGATTGTCTCCTTGTCAATTAAGGTCTCCCTTAACTTCTTGTATAAATCACTAAAAATTCATATTTGTGTATATTGGGTTTGAAAGCTCCATATATTAATTTTTGAAGGGGGGTTGTGAATCTCAAAAAAGAAAATAAATCACGCCTTCACTTTCTATTAGTGTTATTAACATTTGTTACACCCAGGGTCCATTACATCGCGACCATTACTGTTGCAGTGAGCATTACCTGCCATTTAAAGCCATGCTTGTCATACATAGGGAAGCAAATTTTTAGGAACAAAATCAAAGAGAAGAATGGGAGAGGTTTTTTCTTTCCATTTTTTAACTGGCTACGTTACCGCATGGGTGAAATTAGAAAGAAGTTTGATAGTGGGATATGTGTTGGTTTATGATCGAGTTGATAAAGTCTTTGGTTTGGTTCGGACAAAAAGGTGGAATAATATGAGATTAAGATTTAACATCTAGTTGTGTGATTCAACAGGTATCTTATACGAAGGTTGCCATATAGAGCATCTTAGATATTGTATTATTGGCAATATCCTTTAACTGGAGTACATTGGATTGCGAGTCTGCTGAGAGGATGTTTTGAAGGGTCTTAAGAGACCTATCTTTTATGAGTGATGTTGAATGCATAGCAAAGCATGGCTGCTTAAGGTTGATAGAATATTTCTCTGAAGAGGAATGGAGGTTCGATTGCATGCAGCATTCAACCTCTCTATCTCTTGCTACAAGTAGAAATTTTTGTTTGTCTTTTCTTTTTTGTTTGTTTTTGGCGTACAAGAGAGTATTTGGGTTTCTAATACTACCCACTTTATACTCGTGGTTGCATGCAGTCCCTTTATCACATGCTCCTGGTCATTATTGGGATGAATCCCTTGGGTGATGGCTTCAGGGGGAATACTCAATTGTTGGACCTCTAGCTTTCTTAAACTGAGCACCCAGCCATTTTTGTTTGCCCCTTGTAGTACATCATAAGTTTAAAGGACCTCCAGTTTTTGGAAGTGGGACTCAACTCAATATTCTCAATGGAGTCACGACCGTGGTTGTCTGAGGTGGCCAATGAGTGTATTAGTAAAGTAAAAGCGGTAGAATATTCATGAGGTAAGACAAATACAAAGACTATTCTCATATGAGCTTTGCCAACAAAACCTGACATAAGATAGTAGTTGGAATTTGGAAAGTTATTTTCTGCTTATGGTTTGTTTTGCAGTGAATTGCTAGACAGGATTTTGGTTTTTAAGCATTGTAGATAGTGTAGTAGTATAATAGAGATGTGTTTTTTTGCAAAAAAAAAAAAAAAATGAGGACCTGAAAAAAGGTGAGATGATTGGAGTTGTATAGATTTTAGTTTAACAAGGAATAAAACATCCAAAAGTTGATTTTGTAATGGGATTTTGGTAATGGAACGTTGTAGGATAGAATTCTTATATGTGGAACGGAAAGATTTTATGGGAGTCCAGAGCTTTCAGATTCCCCGGATACCTGCAACACATGAAAAATCTGAAGAGGTCCAAACCGTGACCTAGTTGTTCATCATCATCATCATAGGTAGAAAATTGGTGTGTCTGATCTTTGGTTCTGTCTCTTAGGTAGTGTTCTTACACATACTTGACCCCTATCATGTTGGCACGTGTCCCTAGGGGTGTACTTGCTAGCCAATGTGACACAGCCAAAAAACAAAAATGGATTCTACACAACACATTATGTATTCTCCCCTAATTGTGAGTTCTGATTTTAAAACAGAGCCTAAAAGTTTTTGATAGCAATTTCTCACAAGTACCTGTTTTCTATCCTGTTGATATGGTGTGCTTGGGTATACAGGCTAGACCATAAAACAAAAATCCAAACAAGAACAAGAATCCACTGCTGCATCATTTGCGTTCCCTCCTAATTTTGATTTTTCAAATTCTGGACAGAGCCTTTAGTTAAAAAAAAAACTGTTCAGTTTTTTGCTTTTCAATTTTCCCAATGGTTTTTGCCCATTTTTGTAGCATTTAATGTAATCAGCTTTTTTTCCCTTTTATAAGTGTCTGTGAATGTGCATGTTCTTTTTGTGCTCTTTTTTTTTTTTTTGGTACAGTGGAAAATTAAAAGGAGCCACTAAGGCTCCCTAACAAAAGAAATGCTGGCCATATCAGCCTCAAAAACCCTCCTCAATTCCACCAGAGGACTGTCCAGGAGAACAAAATTGACATCCTGTCTTTCTCCTATGTTCACAAGGGCATCAGCACACTGGTTTCCTTCTCGTAGGACATGGTTCACTGAACTGTTTGTGGCACTCAGCAGCTCTTTGCAATTCTCAATAAGCACACTAGAGGGGTGGGTCTCCACATGCTGTTGCTTCAACAGTAAACAGGCTTCCTAAGAGTCAGATTCCACCTCCACTCCATGCAATCTTTTTGCCTTCAGCATTTCCAACCCTTTGAACAAAGCCCACAATTCTGCTTTAATATTGGAAGTTGTGTTGAGCTTCCCATAAAATCCGGCAATCCAATGGCCTTGGTCATTTCTTATCAGCCCTCCCCGGATCCTGGATTTCCTTTAGAGCAGCCATCAGTATTGAGTTTAAAGCCTCCTACAGAAGGAAAGGACCAAGATTATCAACCCCCCTAACCATTTCCCCTGGCTGAAATGCAATATTAATCTCTGTTTTAAGCTTTATAGCATTTCTGACCACATCCCTAGGATCTGTACATAAGTTCTCAATACGCTCCTTATTCCTATCTTTCCATATGCACCAAATGAGACAAATGAAAAGCAGTGGCCATTTCCTGTCCTTCCAGGAAGCTTGCTTCCTGTCTTTAATATTTCTTAAGATCCAACTGGTAAGACTCAAGGATTGATCTGAGGTCAACATCCGTTCACTCAAAAAACCCTCCAAATCCTCTAAGCATTACTACAATCTCTTAGAATATGGAGCATGGTTTCTGAGGAGGCATAACATCTAGTGCAACCCTGTCATGTTGTACAAGCTTCAGGAGGTACTTAATCTGTTGAGGAACTTTCCGTCTCCAAATCCAGGCCCAATCAATGCTTGAATCATAATTGTTTTCTGCCTGAGTGAGCAATTCATACACAGATTTAGAAGAAAAGGTTCCATTATTAGCTGGACCCCAACAAGGTAGGTCCTGAAGAGTGTTAGGAAGGGGCAGTGGAGTATAAGACAATTCAGTTAAAAAATTGTGGGGTAAGAGCATACCTGCCTGCTGGAGCTTCCACTTACCTTGCTGATCAATAAATTCTACCACATTACTTTCCAGATTTGCTGATTGAGGAATCTGGAATCTGTCTTGTATGGGAGTCTCCCCCCGCTACTAATCTGTCCAGAAAGAAGTATTTTTCCCATTTCCAATTATCCATTGCCTTTTTCTATAATATTCTGGGTCTTAAGAATGGCCATCCAAGTTAGAGAGGCATTACATTTATGCTTCCATTGTCTTTGATTCTCAGTTATGTACTAACTCTTAATAACATCAACTCAAGAGTGATTTATTATTAGTCTTAACCTTCCATCCTAATTTAGACACCAAGGCTAAATTATTATCCCTGCTTTTTCTTATCCCTAGCCCACCTAATTTCTTAGGAGTGCAAACTTGATTCCAGTTAATCAGGTGGACTCTTTTCCTTTCCTCAGTGTCACCCCAGATGAACTTTTTTCAAGTCTATTTTGAGAATCATCTCCCCCTTTTTACCCTTCTTTCTCACGCATTGAGGTAACAATTTCTTGAGTAGTCACCACATTATCAATAGTCTGCCTACGTGGGATAAAACTACTCTGATTGGACTAATCAAATTATCCAGAAAGGGTCTCAATCTATTAGCAAGAAGTTTAGTCAAGATTTTGTAGCACACATTACACACACAAAGGCTAATAGGTCTAAATTGAGAGACTATAGTTGGATTCTCAATTTTAGGGATGAGAGTAATCAATTTGGAATTCAGTTCTTTAGGGAAAATACCACTGTTGAAAGATTCTTTAATTAAATTGCACACAGAAGACCCCAGAAATTTCCCAATATTTCTGGTAGAAGATAGCCTGTAACCCATCAAGTCCCGGAGTTTAAGCCCTTTAATCATATTAACAGTTCTTTTAATTTCCTCATTAACCATTGGAATGTCCAAAAGGTCTTTTTCAGAATGTGTTAGTTTAGCTTGAAAGCCTTGAGGCATCTGATCCAGGACAAAGGTATTCATGTGCATTATTTGCACCCATAAGCTCCCGTCCTTTTAGCATTTGACATTTACTGCTAAAAATTTTAAACCATGATTGCCGAGTTGTTTGAGGTTTTAGTGGAACAAATTGCATAACCCAATTGTGGGTGCAATTATTTAAGTGGTATAATTGCAGCCATTCCATATCAACTAAAAAGGAGCACGGGCTAGAAAAAATGAAGGAAACACTCAATATAACTGGACATGATGAAGGACTGGACCCACCAGTCTAAAGAACATGTGGGCTGTCTTGCAAGAGAATGGTGTAGTAAAGATAGATTTTTAGGAAATGTTTGCGACATAGAGGAGGTAGCCAAGTCATTGATTGAAGGAGAAACAGAAAGAAGAAAAGTGATCAAGAGATTCTTTACATGGGTACTTTCTAGGTTTTGTAACACTGGTTACTTCAGCTCCAAGACAAAATCCATTCACTCACTTAAATGTGATTCTTGAAAGTCAAAGCTGCAGAATCTATTAAGGAATTTTCTCTAGGGACATAGTACACTGCCTCCTGGATTGTTTTATAGAAACATTTGTTCTAACCTCCTGATCTTATCCTTGATTTGGTTTTATTTTTGATATAAACTTGAGGTTCATGAACCTGAAGTCGGAAATGATTTGGATGGCAGGATAATAAGTACCATCACCAGTTAGCCTATAAGGCCTGGAGATCTTTTCCTTTATTGTTTTTGAGTTGAAGAAAAAAAAGGGAAGGGTTTGCATTGGGTGGGCCCACCCGTTGTGTGGTCCATTTTCCGTTTAGAAAAAGTATGGTCTGTTTCACATGTGGATGATTGGATCAAAATACAAAAAGTTAGAAAACACTAGTAAAAGAAAGAACAAAGTATTGTGGTTGGGAATTATTATCATACTTTATATTTCTGTTTTCATCTGCTATGTCTTTAAAACAGTTGTAACTGTACCCGATTAATTTTCTTTGTTTTGGCAGGGCATTCCATCACTACCGTGGGCTCCGTGACCAAAAATCACCAATAAAGAAACATCCAGAATTGGATAGGTTGCTTAGAGAAGAATATCATAGCTTGGATGACTTCAACCGTGCCAAAGGAAGGACTGCTTCAATTAAAGATGATGGTCATTAGCTAGCATTTACCATCTTCCCCCAGCTGCAATCAGCTGATCCATCATTTACCAATTTTTGAAAGACAGGTCTGACAACTTATAGAGGAAGGCGAAGTTAGCGGCCTATTTTTTCATGTGGACGTCGGCAATGGTTTTGTATATAGTAACTATATTGATGGGGTTGTTTATACCTGAGTCCTGTTGAGTGGAAATTTTGTTAGTCTTTTTAGTGGCTCTCTGGTATTGTGTGCTTCTGTGAGGTATCTGCTAGCTTGGAGAGGCATCTTTTCTTTCCCCATCTGGATTTTAACTTGTACAGAGAAAACAATTTAAAAAAACCAAAAAAAAGAAACAAAAAAGAACATGAGAATTGTAATTTAGAATTTGTTTTTAGTTGAACAATAAGATATTTGAAAAATTTTTGGTCTTATGTTTCCAGTTGATATTGCTTGATCAGCTCAATCATATGCTATGTAAAGGAAATAGTGCAAACATGGTGTCAGGTGGCCAATGGTTACTGAATGGTAATGTTGATGTAAATTTTACCTCTACATGATCCTTTATCTGGTGCAGATAAAGTATTTTTGCCTTAACCAAGTATTTGGTCTAAAAATGATGTGCTTGAACAAATACGGTTGTTAGGGTTATATGATTTTTTCGACTACACTGGTGCATGCCGGTTTTGTCTACAAAGGGCTGTGGTTTTGGGTTTCGACAGCCATTGCCAAGGGCAGACTTCATGCCCTTTGTCTGAAATAGAACAAACCATTCAACTTTGTCATTATAGTGCATCTCTTGGCCATGACAAATAATATGTCTGCAAGCCGCACAGAAATTTTAGCAAAGTGATAAGGGGTTTGTTGTAATCGGGCTGTCTTTGGTTCATCTTTTGTTGGTGAGTATTAGGGGTGCAACTTGGATGAGTTAAAGGGTCAACTCTAATACAATTTTAGGTATATAATTTTTAGTCTTAACCCTAACTCAACTTCAACCTGAGTTACTTAATTCAAGTATTGTCCGAGTTGAATACGTGCGAGCTCTTGTTGAAATCGGGTTGTTTAATTCGAGTTAAAATTCGAGTTGGATTTGTTCAAAATGAAATCAAAATCTAAAAATAAAATTTTACACTTGAAAAATTTTGAAATTGAAAATGAAATCAAAAAAATTTGCACTTGATTTCAAAAATATGATAGGTGTATAAGATCTGAAATTGACACTCAGATCTGGAATTAACACTCATATCTGAAAATTATTTGAAATTGATACTAAGATTTGTGCCACTCTCAGCGAACTAGCTCCAATTTCAAAAATTTTGCACTTGATTTTTTATCAGTGAAGATTCTTCACTATGAGAGGTTGAGAGAGTTAAAGAGATTGAAAATTCTTCGATCGCTAAAGGTATTTGGGTTAGAGAGGCAACAGATGGAGATGATTGGGCATAGAATAAGACGGGCAAAGAATGAGAGAGGAGAGGTAGGTAGAGGCTCATAAGAGATTGGGAAACCTGGTTGTGTTGTTATGTGATTTATATTATATATATACACTAGTTATTGTCTATGCTTAAAAGCACAGAGTAAATAAAAATAATAAACAATAAACATATTTTTATTCATATCTAAAATCAAATTACAAACATAGAGAAGAAATAAAATAATTTAAATATCGATTTGTAGTGGGGGTGAGTGATGGTGGGCAACAATGGTGGTGGTAGAAGACAGTAATGATTGTGGTAGATGACAATGACTGTGGTGGGGGTGGTGGCAACGAGGGCAACAACGACGATGACGATGGTGGTGGTGGTGGTGGTGGAGGTGGCGATGGTGGTGGGGGTGGCGATGGCGGGGGTGGTGGCGATGGCGGTGGCGGGGGCGGTAGTGTTGGCGTTGGCGGTGGCGACAATAGTAGTGGTGGTGGTGGTTGCGATGGTGGGGGTGGCGGTGGTAGAGCTAGTGGTGGAGCGGTTTCAAACATTATTTTTTTTAAAATATTTATGAGAAATAATTTTTAAAAGTACTTTTAAAAGTCACTCCAAACACATCCTTAGTGACCTATTTTTTCTATTAAATTTAGGGAGTTAATATTAGCCGTTAAATTAACTTTAAAGTAAAATTTAAAGCGATCGCAACCGCGAATAACAAAAATCATTTTATTTATTTTTTAAGATTTGAATTGTAAGCGATCGCAACTGCGAATAACAAAAATTATTTTATTTATCTTTTAAGATTTAAATTGTAAACTACTTTATTATATTTATATATATAAAATTTGAACCTAATAACCCGAGACCTCAACTCGAGTATTATCCGAATTTAATTCGGACTAGAGTTTATGAACTCAAGTCTAATTCAAAAAATTAAAATCCCAACCCAAGTCTTCTTTTTTTTTTTCCCGGGTGAGCTCAGGATGACCCGCTCAAGTTGCACCCCAGTGAGTTTGGGGCTTATTTGATACATGTGGTCTGCAGTTTGGCAAAGGTGAGTCCAATATGTACTTTGCTTTGGAAGATTTATTTTACTTGTAAATATTACAATCAGTCTTTAAAGTTTGCTTCTTATTTTAAAAGAGTAATGTTATTTAGATTTAAAGTTTTAATTTTATTTGTTGATATAATGATGTGGTTCCATTAGAATCATTAGATGAAGAGCAAATTCTAATGTTTAATGGGATCCACAGAAAATCCAAATGTCATAGTGAATCATGAGTTAGATTTTTTTAGGTCTAAATAACATTACTCATTTTAAAATAGTCTCTGAACTTTCAATTGTATCAATATAGTTCATTGACTATCAATTTCATGTCACATTTCGGGCATTCTAAGGCCTTCTAAAACAAAAAACAATCATTTATAAAAGTTTGTACGAAAATATAATCGAGACTCAAGTCTTGCATTAAAGTTTTTGCCTTGTAATAGGACTTAGGTAATACATCTCGGTAGTAATATTTTGATAAGAAACATATACACAAATCAGGGGTGGTTCAAGACAATATCAGGGCTAAAGCGATACTTTTAAATGAGTCCTTAGTATTAATATTGTGAAAAAAATTTATTCACACCCCCTGTAGTTAACTATATCTTCAGAGACTCTCCTGTAAATTCTGAAACTACACTGCCACCCCTTATCAGTTGTTGTTGGCTGATGGCGTTAACAGAGATAATAAATTTATTAAAATGCCCATGAAATATTTTTTTATCTTTAATATGTATCTATATATATTTTTCTCATATATTACATTATACATAAATAACTAACTTGTGTTGAACCTTGGGTTGATATACTAACCAGACATATAAAAATAAAGCAACTAGTGTGAGTTTTTTTTTTTTTTGGGTCAAGAACTAGAGTGAGTTCAGCCACTCTTTTTTGCCTTCTGGTTCACACACAGAGAGAGTGAGAGTGAGAGTGAGAAAGAGAGAGAGAGAGAGAGAGGGATTGAGGGCGAGGAGATCCAATCGCTTGATCGCTTGTTCTCTGAATGTATGTAGTCTTCTACTTGATTACCGTTCGAATCCTTGGAGTCGAAAATGATCGAATGATAAGAGGCTCGATTTACTTGTGTTTCAGGAAGATCAAGTCATCATCGACCGATCAATAGGTATGAACAAACCCTAAATTTTTTGTACGAAAAAAAACTGAATTTTACCCTATTTTTTGTACGAAAAAACACAGAAATTTATCATAATTTTTGTTGTATGAAATCCTCTATTTTTTTGTACAGAAATCCTTGACTTTTTGATATGGAAACCTACAAGATATGGGTATGTTAGACCATTGGTGTTTAGTGATAATCATTTATATCTTGTTCCAAATTTTTGGTTCTTTAGCTTGCTAGGAGTCTTATTCCATTATCACTTGTCAGGTTATAGAATAATAAAAGAGCAATGAATCTTATTCCTATTTTTACTTCTACCCGTTAACTTTTTTGTTGCACTCCTGTGATTTTTTGTACTAGTTTCATTACATTTCATGCCAACCGTCTATGATTTACTTGTGGTTTTGTTGATCCAAAGCTATCTAATATTTTTTCTAAGTTATATATTTTTTTTTTGCAAAGAAAGAGGTTTTAGTTGTTTGAAGAAGCGATTAGATGCAATATTAAAACTATTTTATTTGAGTATGGTTTGTTGTTTTCTCAATATTATATTGAGGATTTTTTTTTTTTGTTTAGTGAAGATGTGTTTTTTTCTACATATTTGTGATTGGTTTTTATTATTTCAAAATTCATGGATATGGTTGTAGTTTGTCATGATTTGCTCTTTGAATATGATCACAAACAGTACAATATACATAATATTGATCCAAATAAATATTGGCATGGGGACTTGTTAAAAGATATTTGTGAACTTGCATTGCCCCATATTCCATCAAGTGCAGCTCTCAATGTATACTTTGGTGTGCCTGGTTCAAATGAGAAGATGTTGGTTGAGCATGACAAAAGCTTGATGGAGATGTTTGCATTGCATGAGACTACAAAAACAGATAAAACTTTTTGTTAGTGTAGAAGCAGTGGTAGATGTTGTGGTTGACTGACCCCCATTGTTACCTACTCTTCATCCACTTCTTGTTGACAATGAAACTTTGATGGATAATGTTTTTGGGAATGATGCATCAAGTATTAGGTTTGATGGTGCTAGTGTCGATGTTGGGAATATAAACTCTGTACATGGCGATGCCCAGGATAGTGACAATGGTGACTTTGAAGATGATGATGTATATGGACTGATTGCAGAGGATGGTGACTATGGAGAAAAAAATGTGATCTCCAATCATGAGTATAGGGAAGAGATAGATCTAGACTATCGTGGTGATGTGTTATCGGATTATGAGTCGGGGGATGATGATCTTAGTCATTCTAGCTCAGAGTCGGATGACAATGTGGACAAGAGGCAAGAGAGATCAACTGCTAAAGCATTTGATATGGAGTAATATATGTAGTAAGACTTGATCAAAGAACATGTGATTGCATGGCTTGGAGTATATCAGGTATACCATGTAGGCATGCAGCACAGGCAATTGCTCAC